TATTCTTACAAATTCACAAATATTTAACATCAAACAACTTATATTTTAAATCTAGATTTACATAGATAGTGCATGCAAATTTTCTTCAAAATTTTACCATTTACCCTCTCAACTGGAAAACAGATAAACATGAAATGCTAGAATGATAAAGTCTTAAGGATACAAATACTTCATAAGATTAAGGAAAAAATTGTTAAAGGTAAACTTTAACCTGTTTAATTTTGATGGTCATTGACTTGAGTTTGCACTAAAACAGCAGCAAGAAATCTTCAAGCCCATGACAGGCTTAGGACTCTAGAAACAGTGTGTAGACTTATGACCTACCATAAGACACATGATCAAGGCTTTATAATTCTCTTCTTAAAGATTAAAGTGGTAATTCTATTAGTTTCCTATTTCTGTTTTTGCATAACAAGCATTACAAGTTATGGCGGACTGAATTTCATCATAAGGATCCAGACACTGCTTAACAGTCTTGTGCTAATACCACTTGGTAGCATTCAAGATGCTATCAGGGCTGCATTATCATCTGCAGATCTGATTGGTGGAAAGTTCATATCCAAGCTCATTCCAGTTCTGAAAAGACGTTATACTCTGAAGTTGGAGAATTGAAAGTTCTGGATTTTTACTAGCTTCGGGGTATAGGCCACCATCTTGTCCTATAGTCTAAGAATTTCTAGAGGTCAGTCACAACTTCTTGCCATGTGAGATTGTCCACCAGAGCTAAAATCATGAAAACTGGCCAGGGATATATCTATTCTCATGGTACTAAGAATTTTACACAGATTTTGTAGTGTAATTATGCATTTGCATCTGTCACTATTGCTGTAAGCTATGTGTTCAATGAAGCAAGTCACACATATTAGTCATAGTCAAACAAGTGTGTAGTGTTCATGGAAACAAGGAAAGACATCTCCACTTAGTAGCAATTTTTAATTGATGAGATATTGATGAACGTGTGCCGTGTGTGTGTGTGTATGTGTGTGTGTGTGTGTGTAATAAGAAATACTAAAATCCATTCTTTCTATCTAGAATGGGGGGTGTTTAATGAATAATAAACATTTAAATCATAAAATAGATACTAGTCATTTCAACTAAACTTCTTGAGGAGTAAAGTTAAGACACAGCAACTAACATGTGCATATGTTGGACAGTGACTGGAAGCTATGGAAAGTTGAAAGTCAAAGTTTTCTTGTGTTCCTACTGCCAGATGAAATCTGGTAATTTGTAACAGGTGAGGAACTGACCTCGCTCCTTTCCCCCATTTTCCCCTCCTTTTTACTTTTCTTCTTAGGAAGAAATTGCAAACTGTGGGAGAGTAACTTCTTAAGGGAGTAACTTTTCTCCCTGAACTGTGATAGAGGGGAGCTGGAGATGGAAGTCAGAGTGTTAAGAGAGAGCACATCCTTTACACAGTCCTGAGTGAGGGTCCAGGAATATTTGTTGGTGTCCCACCTTTGTTCCTGACTCGTCACATCTTTACTCGTGGTTGTGGTCGTGGTATATCCATAGGGGTTCATGTGTGTGTGGAAGTGCATTGAGTTTCTTCGGAGACCATCGGTCAACATTAAGTATCTTTCTGAATTGCTTATTTAGTGAGACAGGGTCTCTTAGTGGACCTGGGGCACTCAGTTTGGCGACACTGACGGGATAATGAGTGTTGAAATCCACTCCTCTCTGTCTCCCCAGGGCTAGAACTATAGGCACTTGTGACCAAGCTCAACTTTTCACATGCGTGTTGGGAAATTGAACCCTGGTCCTTTTGCTTTGCATCAAGCACTTCATTGACTGAGCCCTGTCTGAAGTTCTAATTCTCTGTTTTCAGGACAACTTAATGAAATATAATTCATATAACACAAAATTCAGTCCGGGCGTTAGTGGCCCACACCTCTAATCCCAACACTCAGGCGGCAAAGGCAGGTGGATCTCTGTGAGTTCGAGTCCAGCCTAGTCTGGACAGTTTCAGGACAGGCTCCAAAGCAAATACAGAGATGTCCTGTCTTGGGAAAAAAAAAAAGAATAACACAAAATCCACTTCTTTAAATTTGGCATGTAATCTGATCTGATATGTTTTAGTGTCTTTACAGTTGGACATTCATCATGCTTTCTACTTTTAGAACATTTTCATTACCCGCCCCCAAAGGCAACCCAATGCTCTGAAGCATCTCCATTCCTCCTGTTATGTCCACATGGCATCTCTGTGAATTTGCCCAAGTTGGACATTTCACATTAAGGGCACCACCTACTGTGTCCCCACTTACCTAATTATTTCACTGAGGAAAAACATCAATCATCTCTAATTTATCACATTTGTGGCAAATTTTTCCTCTTCTGCTTTCATTGCCTGGCTGTCATAAATACCTTTGGATATGCATTAGCTCATTGTACTGGCTGGTTTTATGTCACCTAGACACAGCTTGAGTCATCAGAGAGGGCAGGCCTCAAATGAGAAAATCCTTCCATAAGACCTGTCTGTAAGGCATTTTCTTAATTAGTGATCACCAGGGGAGGGCTCAAATCGTTGTGGGTGGTGTCATCTCTGGGCCACTGGTCCTAAATTCTTTAAGAAAGCAGGCTGAGCAAGCCATGAGGAGCAAGTCAGTAAGCAGCACCTCCAGGTGCTCTGCACACGCTGGGCCTCCAGGCACCTTTTCTCACTGCTTTTCATGATGAACTGTGAGTGAAATAAACCCTTTCCTTCATCAGCTGATTTTGGTAATGGTGTTTCATCACAGTGATAGTAGCCTGAATTAAAACAGTCATGCTAGACACAAGATTTAGAAACTTTTCGACAACAATTTGATTTCCTGGAACAGTGAAAATAGGATCATTGCTTGAACTTCCCCTGATACTGAAAGGGATATGATTACAATATGTTCAACTACACAGTTGTTTTTATCCTCTCATGAAAAAATAAGAGGAACTTGTTTTTGCACAAGTTAACTGTGCTTTAGGAGAAACATCCATTTCCTTTTCTGCTGTTAAACTATCTTTAGAACATATTCACATAGGTACTAGGGGAATCAATTATTTGGGTCAATCTTTTAAAGACAATATTTAATGCTGACTTGCCCAAATAAATAAGAGTCTTGTTGCATTTTATTTTTGTTTGACACAAATTTTAAAATGAATACTTCTAAGTATCTGTGATGGTAAATAGCATAAACCATCTTTGCCAAATCATCTCTATAAAATACGAACCTTAGAGCTGGTAATATGGTTCATTGGGTAAAGGCATTTGCTGTGACCTGAGTTTGGTTCCTGGAACCCACATAAAGGCAGAAGGAGAGTTAACTGGCCCTCTGCACACCATATATGCACCATGGTATGTATGTCCCCCACACATTATGGAAACACAACACACATGTACATACTCAAAATTTTGAAGACAATGATGATGATGATGAAAACTTTCTTAAAATGCATTTTAAAGTTCAGAAGAATCAATGGTACATCATGATAGAAAAAGCCTTCGTATATGTATTAAGCACAGTAACTGAATATTGAGTTATTCTGTAATAGAATGATGGTGGGAAAGCCTGTTGACTGTCACCCTTCAAAGCTATGCAATATGGAGGTCTCAGGAGACATTTCACACTGCAAAAACCTTTGCAGTGTTTTGGTGTGTTGGGCCTTCCTTTATAAAATTGTGCTTCAAAGACTGAGTTTTCATGTTTTTATCTTGGAATAATGAGCTATTGGATATAACATTGTAAAAAAGATTCTGAAACTGGGCTACCTTTATTTGCAGTCTAACTATGACCCAAGAATTTACCTCTTGTGGGCTTTAATTTCTTCATATATAAAATGAGGACATTGGGAACCATGAAATAGATCTGTTGTGAAGATTAAACATGCATAAAGTATACAGTGTCTAAAGCCCAAGATACGGAAAGTGCTTGCCAGTAGTCACTCTCTGGCTTAGGCCTAGGGACCACATGGGACAGCAAAGGCAGTTAATGAATTTGGCAGCATCCTGCTTTCAGTGGCTATGTAATGATAAAACAGTTCTATCTTTACTACTCTACTCTTGTTTGTCTATTATGAGGTATATAAAATAATGTTTGTAAAATATAGAAGAGCTGTTTTCTAAAATCAATGAAATTTAATACCAAAACTGGATTACAGATAAGGGTTTAGGAAATTGATTTTTTTTCTGTTTTATTCTCTCTCTCTCTCTCTCTCTCTCTCTCTCTCTCTCTCTCTCTGTGTGTGTGTGTGTGTGTGTGTGTGTGTGTGTGTGTGTGTATGCTTACACGTAGGCACTCATGTATATGGAAGCAAGCAAGAGGTATTACTCTCAGTGGCCATCCACCTTGGTTTGGTTTTGTTGTTTGAGACAGGATTGCACACTGTTCTGGAGCTCACCAGTTTGGCTAGGCTGGCTAGCCAGGGAGCCTCGAGGGTCTACCTATCTCTACCTCCCAAGCATTGGGATTAATTAATGATTGATTAATTGATGCATTAAGTGTACTACCCTACCACCATGCCATGGCTTTCACATAGGTTGGTGCAGCATGCATTCTACTGGCTTACTTTGTCCCCAGACCCAGGAAATGCATAGTTTCTGTTATAGAATTCTTGACTCTACATATATGCTACAGTCGTGCAGCTTGGTCGTCTTGTAGGACTCCTAACAGTGGGAACAGGGGCTGTCTCTGTCTCTTTTACTGGCTTTTAGGGCCCTACACCTCATACTGGGCCACCTTGCCCAGCTTTACTACATGGTGAGGTGCTTACTGAAACTTGATATGCCATGCTTTGTTGATACCCATGAGAGGCCTGCCCTTTCCTGAACAGGAATGGAAGAGGGGTGGGTTGGAGGTGGGACAAAGTTGGGTGGAGGAACTGAAAGGAGAAGAGGGAGAGGAAACTGTGGCAGGATGTAAAATAAATGAAATAAAAACAAAACAGTTATAATGCAAAAAGGAAAGGAAATCAGTGAAAACGGGTACTTTGTTTGCCCCAGCTTCCACACCAGCGTTCTTCTTTCTCTGCAGGGTTTTCCTGGGGGCTTTGGAGACAGAGGCCCTGCTGGTCTGGACGGAAGTCCTGTGAGTACCTTGCAATGGTCCACCCTTACATTCTAATATCGCTTGTGTTCTGTAGCAACTGCATGTGGCATCCTTATGAGCCTATTTACAGACAGTAGAACCGGTCAGTTTCTATACCTCTTACACACTCCAGTTTATCCTCTTTCAATATGAGAAATAACTCAGTTGTTTGGATAAACCTCCATTGTGGCAGACGGTCATTAAAATTACTCACTTTAGCCACGTTTGAATAACGTGGGTAGCTATGACCACAACACTGACCTTCATACGGGAAGGAACTAACTATGTTTCCCAGTTCTGTACAGAGGTCTTCCACTTGGGGTTTTCCATGTGTCACTGTTGAGACTGGGAAAGAGGTGCCATTCAAGAATTGTTGCGTTGCATCAAACCAGAGTAGTGATGGAGTGCTGGGTTTCACACTGCAGAGAAGTTGTTTCAACTTTTCTCCTTCCCAAGAATCTGATATGCATATTATTTTCATCAGGTTTTCAAGTGATCAGAAACCATGTAAAATTTGCATAATCCAAATTGTGACTTATATGTGAGTTAGTATCGCAAAGAGTATAAACACATTTTCTTTTTAAAATTCTCTTTCTAAATTAGCATTAGTTAGGTGACTTGATAAGGTTTTGCTTGTGTCTAAGCCATGGGATTTAAGGGAAAGGAAGAAATGAATCAGATCGAGTTACTAAATACTTGAGTAATACTTTGAGTAGAATATTTACCAGCTTTTTCATGCCCATGATTCTGTGTGGGAGGGGTGCTTCTCATTTAAAGTGTAATGAAGTTGTCATCATTTAGATTTTAAAATATATACATTGTATACTTCCAGACCTCATGTGAAGCCATTATTGATTGTCAATTTTATATCCCTGAACTCTATTAAATCTGGATACAGCATATTTAAAACATACTTTGCAAAATATGCTGTTTACAATATATCATAATTCTTCTTGAATATCAATTAAGCCTTTAAGTACAAAGGCAACTGGATGTTTTTAGTGTGATTTATAGGATTTTTTTTTAAAATAATTTACTATGTCTGTGCTCCAAAATGTAATCAAGGCGTGGAGATGGAGGCCATTCCTTTCCCTCATTCCATGTAAATTTAGTGACACATCATGTTATGATTTTTATGATAAGAAAATATTATTTCTGTTTTAACATAACAATAAAGGTAGAAATTTAAAGCAATGTTCTTTAAAGATGTGACCACATTTTAGCCATCTGAAAATACTCTTCTAAATGCTATATACTCAGCACCTGTCTTTTCATGCAACATACAGGCCGGTTTGTCTATAATGTTGATTATTGGTTCTTCTTGTATAAAGTACTTAGAAGACATATCCTAACCTAGAGAGTAGTTTTAATATCTCAAAGTACTTTTGAAAGAATAAAGCAATTTATGCTTTTCAATGAAAGTTAATTTTGACATTGTTTCCTGGAATTATGTGTCATGATTACAGAAAACCCCTCAGCAGATTGGAATCATAATGAACACATTTTGCACATTTCTTTCATAATAGGGGCTTATAGGTGGCATTGGGCCTCCTGGATTTCCTGGTATTAGAGTGAGTATTACCAAATGTCATTTTAATGAAATAGATTATTATGTAATTGAAATTGTTAGATGCATTCTAAAAACTTAGTCAAATGAGTTTACATGTCATTGCTGTATGGACCCAATTGAAACATATTTTTAAAACAGATAGGAAAATTTGACTAGTAGTATAAATCTTAAAGGTAATTGTTGCGTTTGTGGTAGGCTAAAGTGACTTTCTCCTATACATTAATGTGTGTAAATATGAATAAATTTATAACTGTCTTCTTAAAAGGCATTATCAAGACTCAGTGTCTTCAAAAGTATAAGACATAGAAGACCTACTTCCTGTGAGAATCCTCTCTGCCACCCAGTTGAAGACCAACAGATGCTAATGCCTTCCCCACCTAGCTGTGGTCTTCCATGCTGGCGGTTACCACACTAACTACTCAGTCATATACTCACCCAAGAGTATGGCAGGCATGGCTGAAAAGCCCAGATCTCAGTCCATTCCTCACTGCATTCTTATGAATTTTCATGCCTTGGCTGGAGGCTCCTTTGTCTAATCAATGAAGATATGCTTTTGATCTCTTCCTTTGGCTCAGAAATTCTCTTCTGTTTATAATTTTAAGGGTTCCTCTTTCACTCCTGATGCTGGAGCCCATACACCCTCAACTAAGTCCCCATGCAGCTTCTGTCTGTCCCACATTCTCCCAGAGGGGACCACTGTAGGTAGGGAATAGCAAAGGACCTCAGGGTTCCCCTGATGAGATGAAACTGTCATAAAGCCATCATGCATTGCTTTTTAGAAGGCTGTAATTTTGGAGGACAAGGATTTCACACACAATTTCTGGTGTGCCAATATAGTGATTCTGTATTTTCTACTCTGTTTTTACCATATACTCATCTGTTTTAGTGAGTTCTTCATAGTATTTTTTCCATTATCTCCTGGTCTTAGTTATGTTTCTTTCAGAGTTACAAAAAGAGCAAAATAAGATAGCATGCATTCAAAGGGCATTCATCTCAAAATGACAGATTGAACACTTCAAAACAAATTTAACTAATATAAAATTTAAGAATGCTATATTCTCTGTGAAAAAATAACACAGCCTTTTTGTTTGTAAAATATCTCTCTAGCATTAGATAATTTCTGAACAATTCCCAAAAGCAGAAATGTATTGTTTTTTTTAAAACTAACATGGGCTTTAAAGCTATGAACTTGGAATCAACCAGCCACTGCAGTCACACAAATGACTGTTTCCTATGGATAGCATTTGACATTAAAAGCAGTGATGTATTGCCCTTGAATATTTATTAAGCTGGGAAGTATTACCTTTTACTACTCACAGTCTCATACATGTAAGGATCAAGCTTGTTGGGAATAATTAGTCTCCGATGTACTTCACAAGCTTTAAAAGCACCGGTGTCATGGTTTCCATTCTGAAATTTGTATCCTGTGAATGTAGACTACTGCCCATGCAGTAAGTAAATGTTGGGAACTAGAACTCTAGACATTTCTGTATAGAATAGAAATATATTTTAAAGCTCATTCCTTCGGTGTCCACTTGACATTTTTAATGAAAACTGTCACATCACACTTATTAGGTTGAGTCCAGGGGTGGGGTGGAGAATGGCACATGTGTCTGCTCTCAGCTGATGTACAGATGAAGAGGCTCAGGGAGACATGGACTAAAGGCAGTTGGTACTGGTTACTGCATCTTCAAAGACTTGGAACATGTCATGAGGAAAAGTATGGCCAGGAGGCAGGACGCACATCCTAGCTGAGGGTAGGATGTAGAGGAGGAAGAGGAAGAGTGGGTAAACACAGAAGGAGATCTGGAAGTGTGGTGGATATCTAAAAGAAGAGGCCTGGAATGCTAGCTCAATAATCTGAATTCTAGCAACAATGAGCGACATTCTTAGAATCCCAGAAATAGAAGTTTCAGGTGTTGTTTTGCTTTCGGAGACAGGGTTTCCCTGGATGGGAGTCCTGAGAACTAACAACATCACTGTGAAACCAAGGCTGGCCCCAGACTCCTGAGTGATGGGCTACTGATCTCAACCACTACACATAGCTTTGAAATTTTCGCTGTTTTAGAGCTGTGCTCTCACTCTGTTGCTGTGTTCCCTAAGCTCTCCTCTTGCTTCATCTTTCAGAGTGGTTGGAGGTATAGGAGTGTAACCAACCATGGCCTCATAAACAACTCTCTTACCATTTGGAAACTTGTAGATAGAAGTCTGAACCAGAGTGGTTTTCAGGATGGAGAGTGACAAGGAAGCCAGGAGAGTTAATGAGAAGGAAATTGGAGTCTCAACATCAGAAACCTATCCTCTCCTGCCTACCTATTGGCCATTCATCTCTCTATTAAACCAATCAGAATGTGCCTTGGGCAGATGAGAGACACATTTTCTCCATGTTCAAAACAACAGCTAAATAATGAATAAAATAGAAAGCTAAGATGGTTGATTAATGTATTTGACTATTTGAGGTGATCTTGACACAAGGTGAGTATCATGAACAGAAAGAATATGGGAGCTCAATGGAGAGAAGGGTCTAACTAGAGTAGACTGGAACAGAATCAGAAGGCATCAGGATGAATGGGCCACCTATTGCTTAAGAGTTGGATATTGTTTTAAAAAAGAAGAAAGGTTGCTTTCAGTTCACTAACTTTTTCAACTGTACCATGCCCTCTTTAGGCATGTACCATGCCTAAATAACATCTTCCTTACCATTTCTCAGGGAGATGTTGGTCCTGCAGGATCAATTGGACCCCCAGGAGCTCCTGGACCAACGGTATGGCTCTATTTGCTTATAGATAGTTCTCTCTGATTTCTCCATGATGTCACAAAATATCATCTTTTGTATTTCTAGGGTCTCTTAGGAAATAGAGGAACCTCTGGAATCAAAGGTGATAAGGTGATTTCAATGTTAAAATTATCACAGAGATAACCCTCACCCCCGTTGCTTATTTTGTTCAAGTCAACAGAAAAGCATCAACATTTTGATTTTATTTTCAAGGTCTAATTTGTATTAATCAGTTTTCCTAAGCAGTAGGGGAAATCATAGAGTTTCTTTTCTATAATGAATACTTGCCTTTCTCTTTCTCACCATGCTTATAATGCATTGTCTTTCTGTGAAATTGTGTTTCCCAGGGTGAGCAAGGCACGACAGGAGAGCCAGGAGAACCTGGGTACCCTGGAGACAAGGTAGGAATCTTTCATACCATTCCTTTGATAAAAATGAAGAACTAAAGGGATTTTCAAAGAAAGGATTGCTTATTATTTCAACTATGCATTTTGTAATGATATAGTATCAATATGATTTAATTCTAAAATATACCCATGAATGTTTTTAGAAGCATGTAAGTAGAAATTTTTCTTTAATATAACATTTTCCCTCTAATTTCTTCTTCCAGGGTACCACTGGGTCGCCAGGACCACCAGGGATAAGAGGAAAGTCGGGACCTTCAGTAGGTTTGAGCCTCAGATTTTTGTGATAAGCACAGTGTTTTGGTGGTTAACGGTGTCTATCAGCCCTACATTTTCTCTCCTCCGCTTTAAAGGATAGTTTGCCCTCAGTTTTCAGCATGACTTCCACAGATGGATTCCTGCCCTAGACAAAACCATAAAGAAAATGATGAAAGTTTAAGTCAAAACTAGACCTTTGAATTTTTAAAATGATGATGGTCTTACCTAAGCCTTATTCTTTATGAAGTGCTAGGCATTGTTGCAAAGATTATATATCTGTATACTAGCTACAGCAATTCTTTTAAGTCACCACTATTTATTTTGTAGATTAAAGGTATTGAGACAGAGAGTTAATTAAATTGCGTGAGGTCCCATAGTCAGCCAGTGGACACCTGGATAAACCTAGATAATGAGGTATGCCATGGCCCAGGCTCAGTCATGGCACCATGCTGCCTTAGGATCTTAACATTTTAAGGCTGTTTTTAGATGTTACTATTTGCTGGGGGTGGTGGCACATGCCTTTAATACCAGCATTTTGGAGACAGCACAGCAGTAGGTGAATCTCTGTGTTTGAGGGCAGCCTGGTGTACAGAGTGTGTTCCAGGAGAGCCAAGGCTACACAGAGAAACCCTGTCCCTAAAAGAAAAGAAGAAAGAAAGAAAGAAAGAAAGAAAGAAAGAAAGAAAGAAAGAAAGAAGGAAAGGAAGGAAGGAAGGAAGGAAGGAAGGAAGGAAGGAAGGAAGGAAGGAAGGAAGAAGCTAATGTTGTTTATAAAAAGGTGGTTATAGGTAGAAAAAACAGATGTGGAATTAAAGTACACAAGAGAACATGGAAACGGGGTTTTCTTGAGCATTTTGTTGTGCTTTCTTTCTCTAATCCCTCAGGAAACAGGGCTATGTTTCAGAGCTTCACACAATCCATCGAGCACCCTGAATATTTCCCAGGGATTACTTAATCCAAAACATACTTTTTGGAAATTCTGCAGTCCATAATAGGACAGGAGAGTCGGTCAAGACTAACACTTTAAAGGAGCCCACACTGAGCAGCAGGGACTTTCTGGTGTCTGAGTTGATTGGGAAAGAAGGCTAGAGCCTTTCCTTTCCTTCCTTTTTTACATTTTGAAGGTCTTCAAAATACTTTGGTAGTCATAAGAAGTGATAGAACACAGTTACCTAAGCTAGATACTAATGAATAAGCTCGTGTTATTCTCTTATGCTCTGTAAATCATATTGTAAGAGCACCAAGGTCAAATTCAGGCCCACATCTGGATAATCATTGTTAAGTTGTCATTCTCTGATCCAATTTATATTATAGCACATTCATACTAGGAGATATGAGTAACACGTCTAAGAGATATGACATGGGTTTAAGTCCCACCTTTGAATTTGGACTTTCTATGATCTTGGGTATTTAATCATCATGATACCCAATGTCTTGTGTTTAAGATGAAAGTCAGACTTTAATATGCTTAATGCTTCTGAATATTTCTCCGGGTGAAGACAGAGACTTTGCTGTGTGTTGCCACGATTTCTGTAGTCTAAGCTAAGAGAAGTGTATTTTATATTTGACATGCTGATTTAATGTTTTGTTCATAAAAGAAATCACAGCAGATGCTAATAACGTTTATTTATGGTGGGGGATGAAAAATGTCTGAATGAGTTCTATTGAAGCACTGTCCCCTTCTCTGTACTTTTCTGATAAAATAAATTAATATCAGTGGGACTCCATTAGCAGGGAGTTGTAGTTTTATCAAGCCTTTGAAAAATATATGCTTTTAGCTCAAGGCAGCTTAAACTCGAGGGCTCAGGAGATGGCTCATTAAGTGTCAGCAGGGCAACATGAGGGCCTAAGTTCAAACTCAACAGTACATGTATGTTTATGGTCCCAGTGCTGGGGAGGCTGGGAAAGGATGATCCCAGGGCTTGTTTGCCAATTCTAACCCAGCCTGCTCAGCAAGACCCAGGTCCCAGTGAAGGACCCTGTCTCAAAAAAAAAAAAAAAAAAAAAGGTGGATGATGCCTTAGAATGGCACCCAAGATTCACCTCTGACCCCCCCACAGACACATGCACACACATACATGTGCGCTTATTCATGCACACACATGCATGCACATGCAGTCTTGCATATACATATGACAAATGACATATTAATGAAGGAATATTGTTTTTGGTGCCTAAACTCAGTTGTATCTTACTAATACTAAGATAGTTGACCTGAAAACCTTCTCCAGTAAAGAAAGGAGGAGACTTCTATTTTATGAAAAAAAAAAGGTCTTTACACAAAATCAATTGACTTATAAAGAGAAAAACTGCCACACTTGCTTATACAAGTTTGTGCCTACCTAAAAAGCGTTGCCTGCTGCCACAGAAGGCAGGAATCTTGAGGATGTCTTCCTCAGTCCTAGCTTTGGTTTTCTAGTATCTTAGATTGTACTGGTTGCTATGACTGCTTCCAAGTGGATCTGAGTTATAACATGGAAGAATACTTTCCAGATGTAGGAACAGCCTGATGTGGAAGGTGTGTGTATTCTGGAACAGGGGAGATTTTGTTCACCAAGTTCAGAAATCAGGGAAAGCTACCACTCTGGAAGGGTCAGGAACTCTCCTGCCCGCAAGCTAGAGAAGACATTTGCGTGTGGAGGTGGGGGGGCAACTCACAGGCATCTTCTCTTTTTGTCTGCCATGTGATTCCCCAGACTGAACTCAGGCTACAAGGCTTGGTGGCAAGTGCTTTGGTCATTGGGCCATCTTGCTGGTCCCCATACCATTTTTTATACTAGAACTTTCCTCATTTATAGAGATTTACTTAATACTGTGCAATCTGTAAGCTACTTGAAAAGTCTTCATAAAATGTCTTTTATAAAGGAAACTTGACATCCACAGAAAGATGGTAACTTAAGTTTTACAAAAAAAATAATTATTACAAAAGATTAATAAAATTGCTCCACAATTTATTTTTTTTAACATTTGCATGTCAAAGCCTGAGGAAATGCTGCCCCCCCCCCCTTGGGTGCTTCTAGTTGACATCCTAATAGGTTTTTGCCACTAGAGGGCGCCACTGAAACCCACCCCATCACTCACTCTAAGAGAGGTGCTTGTCCCTTGCACACTGATTCAGATGGATTCTACATTTGTTTCTGCCGTTTGAAAATGGGCCTTTGCCCAAACTGTCTAGATTCTAGTGCGGTAGTTGTCCTGAGCCCTCTCACGTTAGATGTCTTCACATTGCGAAGGGAGCCAGTCAATATAGGAAGCTGTAGTTGTTGATGAGTCCCCTCGTGCTGTGTCCTGAAATTTGAACCTGGATTAATCAGATTAAAAGCTCATTTGGAAGCTTAGAGCAAAGGTAGGTAATGCAGCAGTTTTCCCGTGAAAGCCAAACTGTCTTCCTATCCCTTCCCTGCTCTATGCTGCCCCCCTCGACAGCATTGCTGCCTTCCCTGGCTCAGGCTCAGGCCCACTCCCCTCAGCAGTTAAGTCCAGGATCAAAGTGATGTGCGAACTGCAGGCAACGGCAGGCCAGGATCACAGGCAGGAAGTGGACAGTCCATCCTGGTCACTTTCGTTAATGCTCATGATCCTCCTGTGTGGCCTGGTTCTGCACTGTGCACACATTGTGACATTTAATCCTCACAACGACCAATGACTCTGAGCATGTTAGCATTGTCCTTACCCTTCCTATCTTCTATGTGAGATAAAGGAGAAACCTAGCATCAGGTGAGTCGTAATTATTCCACCAAGCCACTTAACAGCAAAGAGGTGAGGAATTTTCAGAAGTGCCCTAGGACTCTGATTATAAAAAGCAAACCCTCTTCTAGAATCTTCCTACTGCTGCTTTATCAACCTGTCTCTGGAGAAACATGCACACATATATACATACACATACATGCACACATATATACACATGTAGTCACACACACATGCATGCTCACACATGCAGACATATATACATGCACATAAGCTGACATGCATGTACGTGTCCGTGCACATACCCATACACACATAAGTGCACACACGTGCACGTTTTCACACCTACACTTTCCTTGCCTGAGCCACCTGACTGGTTAATTTATTTGTCTGGCTAACAGAAGTGAGTATACGTTGCACCCCAGCCAAGCATGTGAGTATGTTTCACGGTGACAATGTGATAAGAAGCCAGGGAAGGGAGCTAATACTCTCAGGTAATGACAGCAAATGACAGGGAAAGGCAATCTGAAGACCTTACAAATTAAATGTCTGGAAAGTCATTACAACTGTGTTTGACATGATATATTAAAAGCTGTTCACTTGCAAAATGCTAGTTTCCTCTTTCAGATATATTTATTAAGTTAATATTTTCATTTTGATTTTTCTCCTCCCCCTTTAGGGACAACCAGGTGACCCAGGACCCCAGGGACCACCAGGCCCTCCAGGACCAGAGGTAAATTGTTGATTAAAAGATAATACATTTGAAACAAAAGATGATGAAAATTAAATTTCTTTTACAAAACATGCTTTTTGTGGGAAGCTTAAGAAAGATTCTCTGAAGTTTACCTATGAGAAGCAGCTTAGACCACATTTACTCCATCAGAGATACTAAAGAAACAAGAGATTGAGTATGAATTGATGTCCATGGGGCCATTACACTTTCAAGCTTGAATCCTTTTCACAATGGGAACTTAATCTAAGTTTATGGTTCATATGTGCTTAGTCAGAAGGTACATGCGTATAGTGTTTTCCAGCCCCCCCCCCTTCAAGGAGGGCCAGGTGTATCTCATCCACTGGTATGGAACAGGTCTTTGGATTTGGGAACATTCTGTATTCTGGGGTTTTTATTAGAGATGTAGACTCTGAACTGTTCACATTTTTATTCTGATGAAATCCCAGATGATTTGCCTTTTGTGTGTAACTGTTCAATGTTACATAGTTAAGAATTATAAACAAAATCGGAGCCATAGACTCCACTAAATTAGTATGAAATGCTTCCAATTCTTGCTAAATGCATGTATAATTTGGACTTCATATCTAGAATTAGTGCAATTAGGCTTATAGTAGACATATCAAGTTTGTTTGTATATCCCTTAAAATACTGAGTTTGGCTTCAGACTCGATCTCTCTCTCTCTCTCTCTCTCTCTCTCTCTCTCTCTCTCTCTCTCTCACTCTCTCTCTCAAGTCGTCACAGAGCAGAAGCTCTGGGGGTAAAACTTTCTTGACTCATATCATGAATTCCAAATGTTGGGTGAGATAAAGCTTCTGTATTTCACCCTAGTTTCATAAAGACACCCAAGTCTAACTCAGAGTAATGGAAGCAGTAGCAACGCTGGGGATATAAGTTGACTTCTCAAAAAATAAACCAGGGAACTAACAACTCCTTAGTGTCAGAGCCCTGGGAAGTTTCCAGGATAGGATTGAACAACAGCTTCTGCCTCTGTGCAGAGTACAGGACCTGATTCCACAGCTACTCTTCAAGGGTTAATGATTTCGTTAGTTAACTAATAGTAGGTTTTCTAAATTTAAACACATTCATTGTTGACAGATCAAATATGAAACTTGACATTACACCTAGTTTTGTTGATACAGAAGTGGTTGGTTGTGAAACGCAGCAGGACATTGATACCGTCCTGAGAAGGACATTGTTTTGAGTGAACCATTAAAGTTTGAGGTTAATACAAGTTTGTCTCTTTATATGAACCAACCTCTTTTATTCCATCAAGTTTAATGAAAGATTTTCTGGAATAAATATGATTTGCCTGACTTCTTTGACCCAGGATGCAGAATCTAATTCCAACATAATTATTTTAAACGAGTATCATTCTTAGTCCACCAGCAGACTGCTGTAACTGAGGTTACCAGTAGCATCAGCCTTGGGGAGGGCTGCGGTGTCTCTTGTGTCACTATTATTTTAACGATCTTCTCTTGCACAAAGCATGTCTGGGGGTACACAGTGCACTCTTTTCCTACTACCTCATCATCCAAAGATGTTCATTTTCCCCGTTTCTTTTAAATGTTATCGCTTTTCATCAACAATTAAAACATCGTCTTCATTATCTTTAACTCCGCGTTGCTTATAAAAGTCCTGACCTCTAACTGCTCTGTTCTTCCTTGTCGGATTTATTTCCCACAGGCGTTATTGGTAGCCTCTCAAGGATTAGTACAAGGTCATTTGGGGACAATTTCACATTTACAATGTCTTCTAGCTCATAAGCACATGTTGCATATGTGACTGGGTATGAGGCACTGTCTCACAGCAGATGTTCTAGTCCTTTGCCTCTTATGGTTTTCCTTTCCCCTCTTTTGCCTCGCTCCCTGAGCCTTAGGAGTATGGGTTCTATTGTTAGATGTGCTGATCAGTGATGGGCTCCCAACCATCTGTGGTTCTCTGCATTTTGATACCTATGCATCTCTGTGATGGTCTCCTCAGCTTCCTCAGTGAAGGGTGAGAGCTACCCCTATCTGTGAATGCAAGGGTGGGTATTTACAATGTGGTTGGGAATTATTCCCATTCTTCTGAATCTCAGACTTTTTCAAATTGGTTCTTCGTGGGTTTCACACCATGCACCCTGATCCCATTCATCTCCTGGTCCCTTTATATGTGCTCTCTGCCCTTACAACCCCTCCAAAAAAAGCCTCATTAAATAAAATTTCAAACAAAAAAACAAAACAAACATACAAAAACAAGAGAAAAAAAGGCGAATGTCTCAGCATGGAAGCAGCAGCATGGAAGCATAAGTTGCACATTATGCCCTTTAGTCCAAACAACTTGTTCATTGCAGTGAGCCGCTGGTCTGGTTTGAGACCTCTGACTTCTGCAGACTCTGCGCAGTGTGCCCTCCCTGGAGCTCCTCTTGGGTATCCTGCTGTTGCCTTATGTTGTGGAGATCCTGCAGCATTGGATCTGCATGTCTGGCCCCTTCATGTTTCATTGTGAACTTTGACTTTAATGTAATTTGGGATTCAAGAATTTAAAGAATTTTAATAGCAAATCAAAGCTAAAATGATTTTCTTTTCGTAATATATAAATTTTTTTCAGGTAAAAGTTCTTAGTTGTTAAGTTTCTGTTATCCCAGAGGCTTCAAACAAAGATTTCTAAGCAAGAAAGTGTAATTCTGAGGCTTGAACTTTTTGAGAAGTACACATAACAACAGAGTAGCTGGTTATAAAGAAGGAGGGGTTACAAGGAGACTAATCCCTCTAATTGCTTAGAAGGGTAGAGTGATACAGACAAGGATTAGCGGTGATGTTGTATGACTATCTGTGAATGGTAGAGATTATTTCAATAGAAACACAAGGAATAAAATTCACAACACTTGAGCTATGGAGTTCAGCTCAGTCGATCTGTGAGAAAGTGCTACAACACAGCTTTCACATATTTGCTTGACTAGTTGAGAAAATTGTAGATCATTATTCTAAAATGGAGACTAAAAGCAGGAGAAGGAAAGCAAGGTCGAGGTGATTGGAAATCAGATCTTAGGTTTTGATCTGCTGACATTGACATGTTATAGTGCATAGAAATTAATCTCATAGTTACACAGGGACTTAGAAGAGAGGAGTAGGCAGGTGCAGACAGAACACAAAAATCAGCAACCATAGATATTATGTGAACCAATTGCAGCAGACGAAGCTATTGAGGGAGAGTTTATAACTCAAACTCTGAAAATAATAAACCTAATTGCCCATCTCCCAGAAACCTACATTCTGTGTCTACAGTACAATTAAAGGGAGTTTTTTGTTTTTGTTTTTGTTTAATTTTACTTTATTTATGTTTGTGCTTGTGTCTGTGTGTGTCTGAGGAGTGTATGTGTACATGAGTGTATGTGCCCACAGAGGTCAGAAGAGGGCATGGATCCCTTGAAGCTGGAATTTTGTAAGCTGCCCAATGTGGATTCTTTGATCTGAGCTCTGGTTCACATGATTTGACAGCAAATTATCTTAATCTCTGGGCTGTGTGTCCAGCCCTATAATACGTTTTGAGTTAATAACCAAAGGGCAGTAAAATAATTTTTTGTGACTAAAACACACATTCCTGAGCAATTGACAATTTAAATGAAAAAAAAAATCACAATGTAAATTAGGAAATATTTAAGCTATGACGACAACAACAACAAGCCCATAAATCAACACATACACAGGGTTCTTTCTGCAGAGTAAGGCAAACATGATGAGTTCCACAGAGCATCCATATGGGGATTAAGCCAGAAAGAGAAGGAACTGGATTGAACTAAGTCATCAGAGGGAGGAGGCCATGTATGAGGGTGGGTAGCCTGGGGACGTTCTGGAAGCCTAAGTGAGGGGTGACTGAGGATCATGAAGATAATATCTGAGTTGTATTAATACTAAAATGTAAAAAGACTTCTTGCACCCCTCAACACGTGGCTCAGAGGTCTATGCAGAAGAGGAAGCAGGATGATTCTGAGAGGGGAGGCGGATGACTTTAAGGGAAGATGCACATATGAATTCACAAAAGTTAGGACAGAAGGCACAAGCCTTGGGCAAGCTCCAGCCAAGTAAAGTCCTAGTGTAGAAGCGGAAGGCAGAAATGTAATCCCAGTAGCTGATGGATTTTGATAGCTGCTGGGAGAGAGACAGCCAGTATGTGACTGTGGGGGAACTGACAGAGCAGGTCCCAACCCCAAGACTAGCTGGGCAACACAAACTGGACCTGATGGGGAGAAGAAAGAGAAATAACCTCAGAGATGAGGGGCAGGGAGATCGAGAGGGTGGTTCGGAGAGGAGCTGAGCGGTGAATACTCAAAATACATCATGAGAAATTCTCAAACAATTAAAATATTTGTGAAGACCCAAAACACAGCCACTGGGTGCCACACATCTTACAGGTATGAAATTCAGACTTGAATATAAAAAGTTGCTAACCAAAGCCATGACATATGATCAGTTATAATAGGTGCCTCTCCTACAGGCAGAAACATATTCATGGTTCAAAAGAAATCTAGAAACTCATGATATTAATTTTTTTTCATTTTCAGCATAGATGTCACAATACCAAAGCAGAATTCAGTGGCAGAAGGACTAATGTTTCCCCCAAAATGATGAGCTCTACATAGAGATTTTTGTGACAACTTTTGTTAATTATTTAGGTGATAACAGAGTTAATAGCTTGGGGGAAAGAGTAACTAAAGTTATTATCTTCTAAGTCAAAACGAAGCAGTTAGGTTGAGAATATTGAGCCTTATTTCAACTAAACCTTACTTCAAGTGTGAAGTGAAAATATCTATAGTGCTAATCTCATTGAGTTACTGTTTTGTGTACATTAATGCATATACAACACATCAAAAGATGACTAATATGAACAATGAACACTAGCTGCCATCCTCATGACACCACTATAGGGAGAAGCTACTGTCTTACCTCAGAGGTTAGGGAGGGGTCAGGGAGGAAGGGAGAAGATAGACAGGAGAAGAGAATGAGCCTATTTTGTTTAA